GAGGGAGGAAGGGAGGGAGGGAAACAAAAGAGGAACATCAGGAAGAAGGGCCCACTTCAGGGTACCCCACTCTAGACCAGCCATCTGCCCCTCCAGTGCTACCTCTCCCAGAGAGGAGCCACGTGACTCCTTAAGGAGTGGTGTCTAGGCTCCCAGTGGGAGGGAGTCCAACAATGCCCTCACCTTCTACCTCTGTTCCACCTTGTACCCCAGGCCCAGGAGAAGACAGGGACATCAACAGTGGCTTTGGAGACATGTTCAACTACAGCCCTGTTTACACTCTTCAAGGCGCTTCAGCTTACCCCACTTCCCAGGCAGGAAAACTGAGGCCCAGGGTAGCAGCAATTTATCCCAGGCTGTACAACAAATGGGTTGGCAGAGCTGGGTTTTAGCCATGATGTGATCAGCTTGCTCGGTGTCTGGTTTACTCTAGCTGCTCCTGTTTCCACCTCTGCTTTACTGGTGCAGATGAATTCTGAAGACAGGAGGGCATTGAATTGGTGGGATTGGGTGGAGTCCAGGGTCTCAGGAGGCAAGAGTCCCACATGTTGGCCAGGTACGTGGGACTTCATGAGGGCTGAGCTGGCTCAGCAGTTACTTCCAATGAGACTGTTCCATCTCCTCTGCCAGCTCCTAAGGCTGGGATCTGTGGACCTGTGTGCTATGACCATTTTCCTAATGGAACCCAGCAGAGTTGACTGGGCCTCCTGCCTTGGCTCCTTGCTGGTCCTGTGCCCAGCTAATCCTATGCACAGATTCAGTCCATTTTGCCCAGCCCTTGAAATGCAGAACACTCCTTGGCCAGGATAGCACCAGAATACTGGCCTCTGAGCTCCCACGTTTCATGGGTATACTGAGATGGCAGTAGGACAAGCTCGGTCCCAGACTATGTCCTATAACCTTTGGTCTCAGTGCCCAACTTTCTTCCCACTCAAACCCTGTTTTGAATTTCATTTTAACCACTGGTGGCTGGGTGGGCAGTCTGAGGAATCTGAATGCAGCTCTCCTGGCAGACACTGCCTAGGGCTTTATGAAGATAGAGTGGGATGTGGAGGCCAGAACACATTCTGTAGGTGTTGGAGGCAGAAGTTAGGTAGCCTTGCTCCTGAGGTTCATTTGTAAGTCCCAGGTTAGGCAAGACTGGAAAAGCACCCAGGAAGGATGCTGAGCAGCCCGCCCTGGCTGGACAGGCCTGCCTGCCCACACCATGCTTCAGTAGCCCCTACACAGATCCTGCCCTGGCTATCTGCGCCAGGCAAGAGCGAGAGGCCTGGAGACCTCAGCTTTCCCAGGGGGTCACAGGCAAGGGTTGCTGTTGGTCCATTTAGAGTTGCTAGGTGAGGCTGTACCTCTCCTGGGTCTGGCTGTTCCTCTGACCCAGTAGTATTCCCAGTACTGGGATGTTTATACTGGACTATCCTGGGTGAAGATCAGAGCTCGGGGTTACTGAGATATCTTAGCTGGTAGAGAGCTTGCCTTGCCAGGATGAAGGATCAGAGTTCAATCCTCAGGATCCATGTAAAATGCTGCTTGTGCTGGGGAGGTAGAGAGGTAGATCCCAAGGTCCTAAGAGGCCAGCCAGTCCAGCCTAATTGGTGAGCTCCAGGCCAATAAGACCCTGTCTCAAGAGGTGGAAAGCATACTGAAAGACAGCCGAGGTTGTCCTTTGCCCTCCTTTGGACTTGGGGGCGTTGGAGCATGGCACTTCCTGGAAGGTGGTGATAGAACAGATAAGGTGGGGCCACCATAAGACCGGGCGCATTTTGCCTCTCTGGAGCTGTCTGCATTGGGTAGGCCTTAATAAATGCTCTCGTGAGAGTAGTAAACGCCATGGAGGACACTGGAGTGTCCCAATCTTGTCTAGGCTTTGCATATCCTGGACCTAACACATGCCTGGGTCAGAGCCAGGTGGTATGTTCAAATCAAGAGTGAAAAGTGGCTTTATAGCTGGGTCAGCCTAGCCAAGGCTCACTGCAGGGAGGTAGCTACCAACTCACTCCAAGAGAAGTTAGCCACAAGAGCTGGGCTGCTCTTCATGCAACCACAGGACAGGAAAACTGAGGCTTAACACTCCAGGGGCTGAAGATTCAAGCAGTCTGTGCCTGCTGGCTCCTGGTGGGTGACAGACATCATCTGCTCTAGGGCTCAGGTCTCTGCTGGAGCGCTTGGTCCATTTTGAGCTAGAGCAGGGGTGCCCAGTGGGGAGGCAGCCCAGGCCCATGCAGACATCACCAGGACCAGAAACTGTTTATCAAAATATTTTATTTTAGGAGATCGCTCAAAAAAGACCCTCCACATTGGACAGACACCCCAACAATACCCTTGGCCTTATTTTATTATTTTTTTGTCTTTTCTGTTTCTTCCTTTTTAATCAACTAAAACAATTTGATGCTTAAAATAAAAGACAGGAAATGTTTCCAATCAGACTTTAGTCATATATATATATGTATATATGACTTTAGAAATATATATATATTTCTGATCCGAGGGAGGGGAGGGATGGTGCTGCCTGTGGTCCAGGAAATACTCGGCTTTCCTGTTCCCAGAATGGAGTCTGCTGGAAACACGCAGCCCAAGAAGCTGCCTGGGAGAAATGAGGACGGAGGCAGATGAGTGTGAGCCCAGCCTCTGTGCGGCTGAAGCTCTTAAGTTATACAGAGCTGGTGCTCCCTGTCTCAGTGCTGACCTGTCCGTCTGCCTGTCTGTCTGTCTGTGGAGACTCTATTCTGGAAGGAGCTGGTTCAGTCTGGTGGGGAGGCTGGGATTCAGCGTCATCTTCATCTTGTGTGTGGCTTCTTTTCCAGCTGAGAAACTTTATTTTCTTTTTTAATTTTTAAAAAGAATCACAGCCAAAATAAGACATTAACTGGAAAATCCAAAATGGCTGCGCTTACCCTATTTTTTTTTTTTTTTTTTTTTTTTTATATATAAAAACATTTAAGAGTCTACTCCAGGGAGTGAGCTGGGCCCACTACACTTTCCCAGGGATCTTGGCCCGCTTGCGAGCGATGGCATCTTCAACAGCCTTGAGCTGTTTAAGGAGCTCCTCCCGTCGTGACAACGTGCTGGCTTTCCCTGACTTGGTGCCTGCAGTAGCAGTGTCGGTGGCTTTGCCCGGCACACTGGTGACCTTGCTGGAGCTCTTAGACTGGGGTGACAGTGGACGCTTCCTGTAGGGTTGAAAAAATGTGAGGGAGTAGATGGGTAAAAGCCTACCCTGGTGTGAGCATCCAGGGCTTCCCACTTCCTCTGTGGGAGCCCATAGCCTCTCCCAGTCACCCAACTATATGGTCATCCTGAGACTCAGTGCCCCTTGTCTAGGGCTCTTTAACAAGACGGGATTGAGCATTGTGCTCAGGTTGAGTCTGAAGGCTCTTAAGAGGAGTGGGATGGGACTGCTCTGTCTCCCATCTGTTTGTTCTTCCCGCACCCCCATGGCTCCTACATTGTCCTGGACACAGCAGGGACTTACCTGTCCGCTTGGGCAGCAGGGGCTTTAGCATTTTGACCTCTCTGCCTCTCTGGCTTTGGGGAGCCCATTTTCCCCCCTGATTTCCGGTCCCGAGAACCTGTACAACAGAGAAGAGAGTTAAACCACTGTTCTGTACTTGGGGCTACCAGAGGACCCAGATCCAAAGTGTCAAGGTGGCCAAATGTGATTTGCTATAACATAGCACTGGGAAGTATAGGAAGGAGGATCAGTAGTTGAATATTTGTCCTTGGTTACATAGTGAGTTTAAGGATAGCCTGGGCTATCTTGAGGTCTGCTCAAAAAGTCAAAGTGTCAGGCTGGCTGGCACACTTGTCCTTTATAAAAACAGGAAAAGCCCAGAAACAGACAAGGCAAGTACTGCCTCAGAAAATAGAGCTCATGAAGCTCTGATGCAGGGCCTGGAGCTGGGTCCAGTTATTTTTTATTGGGGAGGGGGGTGTTCAAGACAGGGTTTCTCTGTGTAGACCAGGCTGGCTTCCAACTCACAGAGGCCTCTGTCTCCTGACTGTTGGATTTAAAGGCATGGGCCACCATCACTGGGTCCGGTTTCATGGAGTACATTTTTTCTTTAAAATGATTTTTATTTTGTGTGCACTGGTGTTTTGCCTACATGTATGTCTGTGTGAGGATGTTGGATCCTGGAGTTACAGTCAGCTGTGAGCTGCCATGTGGGTGCCAGGAATTGAACCCAGGTCCTCTGGAAAAGCAGTCAGTGCTCTTAACCTCTGAGTCCTTTCTCCAGTCCCCTGGAGTATACTTTCTAATGAGACCCTTCTTTTCTTTAGCACACAAGTTTGACAACATGAAGAACAGTAGAGCCTAACAGTTTACAATTGGAAGCAAACTCAAGAGTGGAACACTCTATTCTACCAGTGGGAGCAGCAGAGAGTGGAGGGCCTAAACATGAACCAAGGCAGGTGACCCAGTGTCCAAGGCTCTGACGCTGGGCAAAGAAGTCCCTCGAGGGCACAAAGACTTAGTTAGGGTCATGGGCCTAGGAACCTGTCTGAAATGAGCCCCAGAACCCCAACTTGTAGGAACCAGCCTCCTACACACCTGCTTCAGAGAGGAAACATGACTTTTTGCTCTTCCCATCAAAGATTGGATCCCCCCATGTTTCCTGCTGGGCTTGAGATGGAGATCTGGGGAAGTGGGTATCTCTCCAAGGTTAAACAATGACTAGGAGATACTGTGTGTTTTTCACAGCCCAATGAGTCTAAGATGTGCAGAGACACAATCAGTGTCTCTCCAGATCAGTCTGGAGTGAAGGCTTCACTGACTTTGGTTGTTGGGAATGCAGGCTAGTTTCTTTTTTTTTTTTTTTTTTTAAGATTTTATTTATTTATTATGTATACAACATTCTGCTTCCATATATATCTGCACACCAGAAGAGGGCACCAGATCTCATTATGGATGATTGTGAGCCACCATGTGGTTGCTGGGAATTGAACTCAGGACCTCTGGAAGAGCAGTCAGTGCTCTTAATCTCTGAGACATCTCTCCAGCCCCGCAGGCTAGTTTTTATGTCAACTTGATACAAACTAGAGTCTCTGAGAGGTGGGTACGTCAAATGAGAAAATGCCTAAGATAAGCCTCACAAGTAATTGATGTAGAAGGGCCCAGCTATTGTAGGTGGTGCTACCCCTGGGCTGATGGTCCTGGGTGCTACAAGAAAGCAAGTTGAGCAAGACAGTAAGCACCACCCCTCCATAGCCTCTGCATCAGCTCCTGCCCACAAGGTTCCTGTCCTGACTTCCTTCCATGATGAACAGCAATGTGGAAGTGTAAGCCAAATAAATAAGTCTTTTCCTTCCCAAGTTGTTTTTGATCATGTTGTTTCATCATAGCAGTAACAACCCTGACTAAGACTTTAGGTGTTAGAACTTGCCAGAAAGAGCCAATGTACTTGTATTCATTGGCTTGTTGCCCTTGACTTTTGTTTTAATGCTGTCTCATGTAATCCAGGATGTCTTGGAACTGTGTAGCCAAGGATGACCTTGAATTTCTAATCCGTCTGCCTATACCTCTCAAGTACTGAGATACAGATGTTCACACCATACCATTTATGTGGTGCTGGAGATCAAATCCAGGGCTTTTGTGCAAGCACTCTACTAACTAAGCCACCCTGACTCCCATTCTTATTGTATTGGAAGGGTTGTTCACCATTAACAATTGTGCATGTCAACATACAGAGACTTACTATCAGTCAGTAACTTTTTTTTATAGTGCTGAGTCAAACACAGGGTCTTGTGCTCTACCACTGAGCTACATCCCTATACTATTATTTAAAAAGACTTAAACTTTCTCATCATGCTTAGTGGTATACACTTATAATCCCAGCACTTTTTGGCGGTTGAGACAGACAGGAGGATCTCGACTTGGAGATAAGTTGGGGAGGGGGGGTGTTGCTGCTGCAGAGCATGATAATGTTTAAAAGCAAAATGAAATCCTAGCTGCAATCTCCAGTGTTATAGTATGGGTGTTAGAACACCTGCAGAGGAGTTCTCAGGGTCCTCCATAGTTTTCAAAGCAGATGTAGTGTCAAGGCCCTGCAGGTGGGCCTTCTGGCTTATTTGTGGCATCCATGGTATGTCTCAGGCCCTGGACCTAGGAGACTCACCTCGGTCTGGGGTTAAGTTGGCCTTCTTGGCTGGAGGGCTCTGCCGGTCTTTGTCTGATGGCTCATAGCGCTTCCGGCTCCCTTTATCAGCCGCCTGAAACAGCACAATACTGTGAGGGTGGTAGGGCCTGGGTAGTCATTAGGCAAGGATGAAGGTGGTGGTGTATCTGAATGGTTCTTTGCTCCCATGGTCCTCTTTTTGCCCCCCTGCCCCAAAATCAGTTCTGTGACCCTTGTGACCGGGCCCTTTGTGTTGCATAGGGAAGTGCCTCTCAGGGCTCCAACATGTCAGGCCTTGGCCCTTCCAGATAGGTATGGAGCTTTGAGGACAGAACCCAGGCTTGCCTGCCTGCTGTCCCAGGGCTACTGTGTGGGGAGCTAGCCAGGCTGCAGTTACAGGCACATGAACTGTAACTCTGAGGTGCTAAACCTCTGCACTATGCTGATGCATCTTGGCCCATCTCTCAGTCCAGGGGCAGGGTGGAATCCCTAGCACCCAGGCCCAGGTGCAACAATACTGGCCTGTCCCCTTGGTCTCACCTTATTCAGCAGTGTCAGCTTTATCTCCTTGTGGGCAACAAAGGAGCCCTGCTGGGGCTGCCCAGGGGCTGTCTGCTGAGGTGCAGCTGACTGCTGGGAGGACTTCCCACCTGTCGGAGCTTTGGAGGACTTGGGTGGCTGTGTGGACGGGTCCCGTTTCCGCTTTTCCTCTCTCACTCCGTCTTCTTTCTTAGATTTCCCTGTCAATGACAAACCCTCAGTCATATGTTCCTGTGAACGTGGACAGTCAAACAGTCTGTTTAAAGCTCACCCCTGAGCCTACACCCCTAGGGCATGGGTCCTGCCTACCTCTCTCCTTCTTGGTCTGAGCAGGAGTGGGGGATCGAGAGCTGGCTGAGGACACAGGACTGGCCAGGTCTGCATACATGTCTTCTGAGTCCACACTGTGCACTGAGCTGCTACTTGAGGTGGCGCTGGACACCGAGGAGACGCTGCTCACACTCAAAGACCTAGACACACAAGCACAGCTGTTCACCTCAGCCCCATGAAACTGCAAGATGGCTGGGCTGATGGCAGTTGTGGGGGGAGGTGTCTCTATGGCTCATCTTTACCCAGTTTCCATGTTTATGGAATGCACATCAACAGTGTAAGAGATCTTGGGGCTTTCAGAGGTACTATATAAGGATAGGACAGCTATGTCATGAGCTAAGGTCTCTACTTTACTAACCAGGGTGACACTATGGTGAGAAGGGAAATGTGACTGAGCCCTACCAATGGTGATAAGGACTTATCTATTTATTTATTCATTTATTTATTTGTTTGTTTGTTTATCTTCAAGAAAGGGTTTCTCGCTGGGCGGTGGTGGCACATGCCTTTAATCCTAGCACTGGGGAAGCAGAGGCAGGCGGATCTCTGTGAGTTCGAGGCCAGCCTGGTCTCCAGAGCGAGTGCCAGGATAGTCTCCAAAGCTACACAGAAAAACCCTGTCTCAAAAAACCAAAAAAACCAAAACAAAAAAAAAAAAACTAGTTCCAGGACAGCTTCCAAAGCCACAGAGACACCCTGTCTAGAGCACCCCCCCCCCAAAGAAAGGGTTTCTCTGTTTAGCTTTGGAGGCTGTCCTGGAACTAGCTCTGTAGACCAGGGTGGTTTCAAACTCAAGAGAAACGCCTGCCTCTGCCTACAAAGTGCTGGGATTAAAGGAGTGTGCCACTGCCACCCAGTATAAGGACATGCTTTTAAACTCGTTTATGGTGCACAACAGCTACAATCCATTACAATCCTCTCCAGTAAGTGGAGAGGGTAAGGCAGATCTGTGGGTTTCAGTGTAGCCAGGGCTTGATAGTGAGACCCTATCTTAAAAAACCAAAAGCAGCACAAAAGGGGTGATGACAGCTGGCAGGTGTGCCGGTGCCCAGCTTCCTGAGAAAACTGACTAAGTCCAGGAGTTCAAGCTCATCTAGGCAAAACAGGGCATCTCTCAACCCAAAACCAAAACCCTGGAGCACGGTAGTAGAGCACTTAGAACAAAATGCAAGGCTCTGGGTTTCACCTTTAGTACCACCATCGGGAAAAAAAAAAAAAAAAAAAAAAAAAAAAAAAAAAAAAAATTGGATGACAGTAATTAAACAAACAGTGACAGTTTCACTGTCAGGGACAGTGAACACAGGGCGAGGCTGTGGCCAGGGGGGAGGGGAGGATGGAGAGAGTAGATGGTGATTCTGTTTTGGCACAGTGCAGTACCATGACATGCCTATCACAAACACCAATCCTAAGGTCATCAGAGGCAGGGAGAAGACAGAAGAATCAAATTTCCTAGCTTTAAAGACAAATGGGGCTGGAGAGAGATGGCACAGTGGTTCAGAGCACTGGCTGCTCTTCCAGTGGGGCCTGGGTTCAATTCAGAGCACCCATATGGCAGCCTACAACTGTAACTCCAGTTCCAGGGTCCTCTACCCTATATCCTCATACAGATATAAATGCAGGCCTCTACCCTATATCCTCATACAGATATAAATGCAGGCAGGATATCTGTACATAAATAAAACCCCACAAGTCTTTGAGACAGTGCAGACTGCTGACATCTTGGACAAGTGCTAAAACTCTGAAGGCTGACTTCATCTTCTAAATCCTTTCTGGTCTTCTTTAAGGGTTTCTCCAAAATGCCTAGGGATCAGCAGGCCCAGAGACCATTGTCTATCCTCAGGGAAGGAGTGGACAGAGAACTTGGGAGTGGCCTCACTTTGTCCAGCTGGGCTGTACCAGTCTGAGCCTCTTCCCCTAAGATGAGATGCTCTTGTGTTAAGGGAGCTATCTTCACTCTGAGCTGTGTGCCCCTGGACCCTGAGGAGCCCCTAACATGGTGGGTGAGAGACAAAAGGTTGACATGGAGCAGGACCAAGCAACTGACCTGGATCGGGAACTGGAGCCACTGTAGCTGCTGCCACTGCCGCTACCACTGCCGCTGAGTGTCCGCCTGCAACACAAGCAGCACACTTCACCTCAGAGGCGGTCCTTGCCGAGGCAGAGCCTTCCTGCACACCAGGCTAGTTGTGGGCCTGAGATGTGCTCCAGGTTGGGCTTCTGCTCCCTGATGCTTCCCTGGTGAGACACCCACCTCCCAGGCTCTAGTTTTTATCAGCATCTACTCCCCGGCAGCACCAAGGATAAGAACTGTACCAGGATTACCATAAGCCCATATGCTCACCTCCTTGGGGGAGTTCTTGTTTGCCGCTCCTTCCTTCTGGCTTCTCGGAGATCTCCCGGTTTGGCAGGCTCAGGGGCAGGAGCAGTAGTTTTGGTGGTCTGTGGTGGGGCTGGGGGTGGGGCTGGCTTCTTTACTGACTTCTCCCTGTGAGGCAGAGGCAGGGTCAAGGCAGGATAGGGCTAGGGTCCCTGCTCAATGCACCCACATCTCAGGGCTCTGCAGTTCAGACATGGCACAAGACTGCCAAGGTCCATGCCACAGGGACCCAAGTCTAGGTGCTGAGCCCGTGCCTCCGCCCACCTCTTGGGAGCCTTCTCTGCCGCCCTTTGAAGGCTGCTTCACCTCTAGTCCAAGCATGGGATGGGAAGAAATAGAAGAGGCTGGAAGCCTTGGAGACCCAACCGAAGTGGAGCACCATAGCGACCTGAGGGGGCTCAGGACTCACCCTGCTTTCCCGGGAGGCGGGGCCGGCTCCCCCTTGGTTCTGACTGGAGGTCTGTGTGGGGAAGGTGTGGGAGACGGGGATGGGGACGAGGAGAAGGACCGGGACCTGGGGAACAAAGAGAGTGTGAGGAGGAAGTCTGGTGCTTGGTAGATTCCCTCACTGGCTGGAGCTGGCACATCCCTTGGAAATGGTCCTGATCCACAGAGAACTTAGGCTCAAGCTCAGCTGCTCCACCATCTGATAAAACACACACTCAAGAGGAAACAAGGAAGGGCAGCGTGCAGTCTCAGGAAGGAGTAGGTGCTTGTATGCAGGAGTGGGTGCTTGTATGCAAGAGAAGGCACATGGTTCTATCTTAGCCAGGGGCCAAATGGGTGAATATGGCTGTGGCTAAGTGTGGGATCTGAGACACTTAGTATCTGGGAGGTGGCAGAACTGGTGAGGGTCCCAAGCACTTGGCTGGCAGGCAAAGGCACAGGCACAGAGATCCCCAAGCAATAACAGCATCACATAAGCAGGGAATGTACAGCTGGGAGGAGATTATGACCAGATATTTCCACACAAGTATTGGGTGTCAGCAAGGTAGACAAAGAGCCCGGGGAAAGGGGGCTGGGTTCAGGCGGAGTTTCCAGGATGGAGTTCTGACAGTGAGGTCACACTTGCGTCAAGAAGATGAAAAGGACTGGGTAGGCCCATGTTGCCTATTCAAAACCATCACACAGGATGCCCATTACTTCCAGCCGGGTGGTGCAAGCAGTAGGTAAGGCTCCTGTAGTTCTTCATGCTTCTACGTTCAAAGGCAGGTGCCCAGGAAACCTAGCATTCACTCTTGTGGCCTTACATTTGCTGCTATGCCTTATGGGCAACTACTATGGGAGAACCAGAAAAAAATACAACCCAAGGGATCCTCTAAGACTGTCTGCCAGACTCCTCTCCCCTCTCAGCCTACTCTCCTGAGTGGACCTTTGGGAGGGCTGTTACAGATGAACTTCAGAAAGGATAGTTGCAGAGCCTGGAGGGGCTCCATTCCAGGTCTCCTTCCTCAATTCAAAGGAGGACAACTAGACCTGCAGGGCTCTAGGATAGTGCCAATGGAGACTAAGCTACTGAGAGAGGCATGTCTATTGTGGTTTCTAAGAAGTTTATGGTTAATGGTGAGAATATGATGAAGTTTTTGAGCAACTGGTGGGGTGGTGGAGCATCCCCACTGGCACCTCCCTGTAATGTCACCTCATACTTCCTGGGTTGACCTTCGAGACTCTCCCGTGTCCTGCCTGCTATGGGACCCACTCAACAACCTGCCTCCTGTGCTCGATTTACCTGGAAGGGTCAGATACACCTGCAAAGTGAAACCTAGAGTCTTTTCCCTCTCTACCCTGTTCCAGCTGCCTCCTTGACCCGAGTGCCCCAATCTTAGGGCATGGGATAGGCACAGAGCTTTCTTTTTTTTTAATTTCCTGTTACCTTCTGCCATATTGTTAGCTGCTTGCTCAGAGCAAAGATCACTGTTTTCTCCGCAAAGTCCAAAATTTCCAAAGGCCCAAATTGTATTCTCCACTTCTCCAGTCTCATATTCTATATAGTGTCCAATGTGACCTTATCTGTCACAGAGGCTCCCACAAGTTTTCCCTGTTGTCCCCATGGCCACTCCCCGCCCCTCCATTTGCAGAAGGAACCTGCCAATGTTTGTGCTCTCGGGCTTGTGCCAGTACACCTATGGATGGCTTACACACACCTACAGAGAAAGGATACTTTTTTTTTCATCCTGGTTGCCTGCTATACTACAAGAGTTTCAATGTCCATGAAAATAGGTCTACATGTGATTTACTCTACACCCCACAAAAGCATTAGTAAGAATCACATGAGACAGCATCAGCGACCTCTCAGAACTGCTTTCCAATCCCCTCTATCATCACATCTAAATCAACACCGGCTGGACATGATGGCATATTTCTTTATTCCCAGCACCTGGGAATCAGAGACAAGGTGGGAGTTTGGGACCAGTCTGGTTTAATACAAAGCAAGTTCCAGGCCAGCTAGGGATACACAGTGAGACCCTGTCTTCCAAAAGAGAATAAAGCTCAAAATTTCCTTAAAAAATAAAAGCAAGACCATATGGTTTGCATGTCTTCATGTGCACTAATTAATGACTAGGACTAAGATACTTCCACCCACACACCCAACCAGCTTTACTGAATGCCATGTCAAAAGTTTTGACTCTTCTCAAGAGCTTATAATGATGTCAGTGCTGGAAGGGTCCACAATGCAGCATCAGCTCAGTTCAGGGCCAAATCAATGAGCACTCCCCTACCCCTCAAGCCAGTCTGACTAAGGAAAAGGGCACCATTCATTGGCAGAGAGACCAAGCCGTCTGGTTTTCATGGGGCAGGTCAAGCTGAATGCATAGTGAGTCTTATGTGCTGGTAGAATTTTGTCTATAAAGTTCTGGAAGTATCAATTTTCAATGGGGAAAATTCAACAAAAGCTTACTTGACCCTCCCCTAGGTTTTTTAGAATGATGGAAACATCACATATTCACATGACTCAGAGATACCTTATAAATGTCGGTCCTATGTCCAACAACTGCAGTGTATGCTGACTGGCATCTCAGTCCAAACTGCTTCTCAGTGTGCAATTTACCAAAACCATTTTGGAAGCAGATACCCAGGAACCCTACCATGTTTTACAAGAGAAACAGGTCCACTTGATCTGTCCAGAATGCCTGTCCTCACTGTACCTGCCAGGAGCTAAGTAGTCTGGGACATACCTGGACCGGCTTCCTGAGAACGAGCTGTGTCTGGAAGAGCGGCTGGAATAGGAGCTGTAGGATGAGGATCGGGACCGGGACCGAGATGAGCCGGAGCCAGAGTAGGATGAAGACCGTGAAGATGACCTGTGGGCCAATGAACAGAGTAGAGACAGTGAAAAGCTGACCTTCACTACTACCACTGGGATGTGCTGAGCCACTGTTCTTTTAATTAATTAATTAACTTTTTTTTTGTTTTTTTTTTTTTTTTTTGTTTTTCGAGACAGGGTTTCTCTGTGGCTTTGGAGGCTGTCCTGGAACTAGCTCTGTAGACCAGGCTGGTCTCGAACTCACAGAGATCCGCCTGCCTCTGCCAGCACCACCTAGCTGCCACTGTTCTTTTAGTGCAGTGAGACAGCACAGCCACCCAGAGACATGGGCACATTCACAAACATGTACAGCAACACAGTAAGACAGAGATGATCATGAGATGTCTACAGACACACTACAGCACCATCACCCCAGAGTGGAATGTTGTAGACACCAGGACTGGGGATGGGGTGGGGTGTGCAGGGTGTACCCATGGTTACTGGGTAAGCCAGAGACTAGTTTAAGTGTTGGACACGGCCATAGTGCGAGTTTTCAAGCTGACCCTACTGTATCTGTCTACATACACATACCCCTGGTTTCTATTAGCACCTCAGGTTCCTCCCAGACTTCATCTAGAATGCATTCCTCAGGCACAGCTCTTATCACCCACCATTAAGCAAAATTCCGAGAAGCTGGGTGACCAGTAAATGGAGTGTATGGTCTTCTGTCAGCAACCTAGAGCCCTTTCCACAGGATATGAGAGGCTTCTCCCCTACCTGAGCAAATGTATGACTCTGGTAGCTAGCCAGAGTAGTCTCTCCACCATTCTGGGTCACCTGTTCTATTTCCTTTTGTATGTTCTGGGGGATGTGAAGTCTTACCAAAATTCTTGCTATCAGTCCCACCTACAGTGGGTATCAACAAGCCACTTGTCTTTGTAGGTCCCCTCTGTACCTGGAGGAATTGGAAGCAGAAGCTGATGAAGCAGAGGTTTTGCGACGCCTTCGTGCCCGGCTTGGGGAGACGGACACACCAAGTTTCTTCTTGGGAGACTTGGATCGCCGCCAAGGATCCTTCCACTCATCGGCTCGCTTCACCTGTGGCCCTACAGAGGTGGTCTCTTTCTTTGGTGGCTCAGCTTGACGGCTGGAATCACAGAGGGGTTCTCAATGCTCAGGCTGCCACCCTTCCCTAGCAAGGCCACTTCAAGAAAGACTAGAAATCCAGAACATTCAGTGACAGTTTACTTTAGGTATGTGAACAAATAAAGAGGCAACACAGCACACCTTCTAATCTCAGTTAGTTCCCTCCAGAAATTGTCTTAACCTTAGTGCCACTCCCCCCCCAGCATCCCCATTTTCTGCTAAGTCTAATAGTAAGTACTTTTAGGGGGTGCCATTATTTATTTCTTATTTCTATCTTTCTGACTGTACTGTCAGACAGGGATGGAGTCCACCTGGTTCAAACATGCTTATTTCTAGTGTTGGCACACAGTAGGTATGCAATATTCATGAAATTAAAGCAACAAAAACCATTATGTTTTCAAACGTCCATTAACTACAAAAGTTAACAAGTATATGCCTTAAGCATTTTCTTTACATTTAAAGAGTCTGGTTCAACTGCAGCCAGGGAATTTCTTGATTAATGCATGGAAAAGATTGAGTATCCCAGATTCTCTTCCCTAACAGCACTGGCCTCAAGTACTCAGGAGAGGCTACAGAAAAGGGCATCAAGGAAGGCTGCACTACCACCAGGGAAATAAAAATCCTGCCTATTTAGCCGCCAGCCAATGGCAGGTACCAGGACTATTACTTGCTGAGGGGCCCAGGTAAGAGCAACACCCAGTGACAAAGCCTATCCCACAAGATACATGAAATCCAGATTGACCACTGTTATCTCAGTCCTAACCCCAGAAGCTGATACCCCAGGTATATCCGGTGCTCACTATAAGGGAATGCAGGAAGGAAGTAAGAACCTAACAACCTAACATAGCAGTTCCCTATCAGGGCTTTCATCTTTACACTTCCTAGATGGTCTCATTCTAAAAACTAGGATGAGGGGCTGGAGAGACTGTCAGCAGTTAAGAGCACTGGTGGCTCTCATAACTGTAACTCTAGTTCTAAAGTATTTGACACCTTCTGGCTGCCATGGCCATTGCACACATGTATTACACAGACATACATGCAGGCAAAATACCATACACATAAAATAGAATAAAATTATAAAACAAAACAAAAAATCCAAACTAAGAGGAAAACACCAGGGTCACTAGCCTCTCCACTGATCATCTGCCCAGTGCAACCCTTTCCACACAGGAAGGAAACAGGAGGAAGAGTCCTTCACTATCTCTAGAGATAGACTCTGGGTCCCACTGAGAACAGGTAGGCACCTTCAGCAAGTGATCGACAGTGCTGTGGATGGGCCTTGATCTTCTCACCCCTGTAGTGTAAGCATCTGACCCTAGGCATTAGTGGTACTGTCTTCATCCGAGTGGCTGGCTCAAGGCTCTCTAAGGAGGAGGGCTGTCCTCCATGTCCATGTGTGAGAGGATGGTAATAACATGCTGAGTTCTGTTACTATAGACACCAACTGTAGACACTGTTATTCCAGTGACTCCATGAAGGACATGATCTGCTATTTGTTTTATAGCAATGATGTAAAACTTCCTTTAAAAGATATTTAAGAGGTTAGAGATATAGCTTAGTGGTAGAGTGCTTTCCTAGCACGTGTGTACCATGAGTTCAATTGCCAAAAAAGAAAGTAAAGGTATTGGAAGTTTAAAAAGCCAAAGTATGCAGGTAAGTGATAGGTGATAATCTGGACTTAAAGTATGGGAAGGATGGGGGTGAGGTGGGGGCTTTTGATCCTCAGTCAGGGATACAAATAAAGTCAAATGAGAGGCTATGAGGATGAAACCATGGGAAATGCTAATGGCTTTAGACAGTGGTGGGTCTTTGGGAGGAATGATAGGATGAACCATCATTACTCATTAAAGAATTCATTACCAAATTCATTACTAAATTCACCCAAGAAAAATGTTTATATAACATTTAGAGGAAAAAGCTGCAAGACTGACATGCTCACCACTGTCAACAAGTTTGGCGATAGAGAACATCTATGACCACCAAGTTCATGCATCGAGGTAGTCAAGCTTTTGAGCTAATAGGTCAACACTACCCAGACAGGTTATGAGTCGTGCTCTGAGTGGTGAGGGTTCACACCTGGAGTCTGCAGAACGACATAGGCTGTTATCTTTGCTTCCCAAGACACCCTGAGGAAACTGTGTTGAACCCTCCTTAGTGTGGGATAACCACCTAGACATCCCATCAGACCTAGAAAGACAGGCACAAATCCATAGGAGGCTACACCTCTTCAAAGGTCATTCACTGCGTGTGGCCTGTTTCAGGGTGCAGTATGCACCAAAGGGAGGAATGCTGATCAGGAACTACAGCAGGAAGTTGCTGGACAAGGACAAACTTGCCATTTACAGATATTTCTAAAGAGGGGGAAAAAAATAACGGCACAGGTGATCTCTAACCTTGACCTTCTGTGCAGCTCAACGCCCTCTTATCTCTCTGCAGCACAGTGACACATTCAAGGCTACTGGAGCCCTGCAGGGTAAGGGTCAGCTGTGCTGCCCCAGTCAATGCTCAGGCTGGCAGCACACGGGCCAAGAGTGGCATGAGGAAGTATACTGCTGATGAGCAAAGTAGCCACCCCACGTGTCTGGGAACTCCAATCTGGACAACTGCCAAGTTTGGGGTCAAAGAATAAAGAGCAGTAGATGGAAAGTCACTTCTAAAATCAGGAGGGTTGAACATCTAATAAAGGCAGGAAGAGGGAACTCACAGCATGTGGGTTCTTCCCTTCATTCTTCCCTCCTACCTCAATCTGCCAACACCCAAGGAGCATGCACGTTGGCATATCTCCCAGGAAACTGTACAGATTTCCCCAGGGCTGTCCCATCTGGTCACAGTGCATACACTGTGCCCTCATCTCAGTAGGTGGTACCCACTGCATCTCTTCACGCCCACGTATCATGTGAGTGTTTTCCACCACACATAGACTACTTCTATTGGCTAAAAAAAACCCCTTTAAGCTCAGTAATCCCTTCTTCCCTCTAAAAGGTCCCCAGAAATGGAAGTCCTATGTATTCTCTACCCTGGTTTACCATTACTTCTTATGGTATGCCCTCTTCTCAAAGTTGACACTTGCTGACTGGTCCTCTCTTCTAAACCCCATATATAACACCAGACACCAGGGACATAAATATTTCTTACTAACATTTCTCCACCCTGTGTCCTAAAGACACAGAAGGCCAACACATGCCAATTGAATGAGACATCAACAAAACCCAGGGCAGGTAGGGCATGGTGGCACATGCCTTTTTCCCAGCATTCTGGAGGCAGAGGCAGGCAGATCAGGCCAGCCTGGTTTATATACCAGTTCCAGGACAGCCAGAGCCATAGAGTGAAGCACTATCTCAAGAAACCAAAACCAAAATAAACCAACCAAACGAAAATACAAGAGCAAAATCCTGCCTATGTGCTTCACTTAGCTCAAATTACTGACCAACTGACCAAACCAAAAGGCCCAAGCACTTACAGTCCAATCTTGAACTGTAAGTGCTGGACTGGAGCAAGGTTTTCTCACTCCAAACGTGAAGTCAAATGTATTTGAATATGTATTTGACCATAATCATTAACCAGTGAACCCAGAGACACAGAACTGGTAACAAATAACAACAAAGTAGTCTAGTCCCAAACCCATGTGTTCTGGGATGGGTAGAAAGAATGACAAAGTAGCCGGTCACTGTGGTGCATGACTAGAATCCCAGAAGTTGTGAAACTGAGGCAGGAAGGATCATAGTTCAATGCTGAACTACATAGATAAAAAAATAAAAAGTCATTTGTATTGTTTCAAGTGCCTGGCAAGCCTAACTAAAATGCATTTGATGTTTACAATGTTCTCCATGCTGCCTTTGACTTTTCACTTTTCTACTCCACACTCCTGCTGCCTTGCAGAGAATACAAAAGGGTAAGATACACCTTGATGTGACAGCACCATGGGCTGAGGGTCCAGGAAAATGGAGAAAGTGGCTTGTTTGGAAAATGGTGTGGCAGGTCCTCAAACAGTTACTAGATGACCCAGCAGTTCCTCCCACAGGTAACCAAGAAGAAGGAAAAAAAACCCCACATTCACACACAAAAGTGCACACAAATGTTCACATCTACAACTGTCCAAAAGTGCCAGCAACCCAATGTCCACCAACAGACAGACAGGAAAAGTAACTAAGGCACAGTTATAGTGCTTTCTGCAAATACAATTTAGGAGGAAAAACAGGACACAAAGCTCATACAGTGAATGGTTCTATACCCATACCAAGTCCTACACCAGTAGGCTGGTTCAGAGAAGCAAGGAGCTCCTGCCTCAAGAGCTTATGAAGAAGCCACAGGGCAATATGTGCTAATGGGAATTGGGGTGGTCTACCTTGGTGGCTGTGGGGACCGGGGTTTTGGCTTTTCCTTGTCCTTCTCCCGGTCTTTGTCTCTGTCACGGTCTCGGTGTTGCCGGTCCTTCTCATCTCGTTTGGCTCTCTCTCTCTCCCACTCTTCTTTCCTCCGCTGTCGCTCCTTGTCCCTCTCTCGCTCCCGTTCTCGCTCACGCTCCCTCTGTCTGCGCTCACGCTCTCGGTCACGCTCCCGTTCTCGCTCCCGTTCTCGTTGTCTGTTCTCTCGTTCTCGTTCCCTTTCTCGTTCCTGGGTTAAAAAGCCAAATATAGATGCTGAATTACACACTATTTGGTAGAAGTGCAGAGAAAACAGGGATCAGGTAGGACTATGCTCTCAGGAGGCCATTTTACTCCCAAGTATCTCCTTAAAACAAGTTAGCTGTGTCTGACAGCAAAGGTCTGTAAGGAGACCTAGGCAGAAGGATCTCAAATTCAAGGCAAGCCTGGGTCAAGCAGCAGCCTACCTGAAAGCCACCAACCTAGTATGTCCAAAGGTTTAATTCCCAGTACCACATGATACAATCAACACATATACACTAGAAAATACATGTTAAAAACAGGAATGCATTAAACTTAAGAGTGAGGTTACCCCAACCAAATAAATACAGAACTTTGCCAATACCAGCCTGGTATAAACTCTACCACAGGCCCTCCCATGGGTGACCAGCTCATTCTTGGGATGGAGGCCTCAATGGCTGTCCATGTGGGCAGGCCCACAACACAGTGCTTCATGAACAATGCTTCGAAGGAAGTGTGCACCTCCTAATGCAAACCCCACTACTGACTTGTTTTCCTGCTTCAGTAGTCAATATTAAAACCTAAGACGTTGCCAGGTGGTGGAAGTGCACGCCTTTAATCCCAGCACTTGGGGGGCAGAGGTAGGAGGATCTCTTGTGAGTTGAGACCAGCCTGGTCTACAAGAGCTACTTCCAGGACAGCCTCCAAAAAGCCACAGAGAAACCCTGTCTCGAAAAACAAAACAAAAAACCTAAGAAGTTCAATCCCAGCATAGCTGACAGGTTCTGGGCTTTTGGAGACCTCAGGAGACACCATGCATACTCCTGTGCCATTTCCACTACCTGTGTCACTAGACACAACAGACAACAAGTACCTGGTGCCCTGTATCCTACCTCCAGGAGGAAGCTGTAGGGTTATGGTTCTGGGCTATGGGTAGTATGCACACCTATGGGCTCCTGGGGCTGTATCTCCCTTTGGTGCTGTGACAGCTCAGGGCTGATGTTTGAGCCACAGCGCATAACTGCTCAAAGGCTCCTAATAAGCCTTTTCCTAGAGCAGAATTTCCAAGCAGGCTGACAGTGAAGACGGAAAGGGCAGTCTGGAGCACACAGATCTTTATACACACTAGGTTCTAGGAGTCTTCACCAGACCAATATGGAAAGGCCAGCCAGAGGCACATCCCTAACCAGAAGGCTAGATGGGCAAGAATGGTGCTACAAGTGAGGACATTACTCAGGAGATTGCTAAGAGCATCACATTCACAAGGGTGACATAGTCACCTGAAAACTGACATTCATACCTTACAAGCAAATCTTATAAAACCATGGCAAAAACAATAATTCCAAGAAAGGCCACCAGACATCAGACTATCACAAACTTAGCCAGTGGTTCTCTACACAACCGACGTGGGCTCAAATTCAGGACTGTGGCTCAATACATTTTGTTAATTGAAGAAGCTCACAGGAAATACACCACAGGAAGGGTTGATTGCTGCCAGGTGAGGAATCACACACCATTGCTTGTATGGCTAAGGCGAGGATTATGAATTTGAGTCTAGCCTAAGATACATAGTTAGACCCCTATCCGAGGGAAGAGGCATTTTAACATGTGGATCATACTTACTCGATAGTTATGATACGGCTCTGCTTCTGTATACTGCACCCTGAAATTCTCGTACTGTCCACCACGCCAAAAACGCTCTATATCATAGTCATAATAAGGATCTGCATAAGGCTCAAGTCTGAAAAAAGAGCCAAAAAGGAAATCGTATCATTTAATTAAGAATGCAAGAGCAAAAATTCTACATAAAAGAAAAGCTAACAGAATCCAACCCCATATGATGAAAATAACACACACCATGACCACATGGTTTCTACAGCTAAGAACACAAAGCTGTCAGCATCAGGACACCCATTATCACTGCACATATCAGTTAATATGGAGAGAAAAAGCCCTGGAATTATCCATAGGTGAAAGCAAAGACAAATCTGTATCCATTTCTGAGAAAACAATCAACAAAAAGGGAATTTGAATTTGTATTTTCTCAATTAGGTTAAAAACTTACTTTTTTTTTTTTTTTTTTTTTTTGGTTTTTCGAGACAGGGTTTCTCTGTGTAGCTTTGAAGCCTATCGGCACTTGCTCTAGAGTCCAGGCTGGCCTCGAACTCAGAGATCTGCCTGCCTCTGCCTCCCGAGTGCTGGGATTAAAGGCATATGCCACCAACACCCAGCTAAAACTTATTCTTAAAAGTACTTTAGCTTTCTGCTGGGAACTGGCTGCTTGTTGTCGAAATGGGCAAGTTCATGAAACCTGGGAAAGTGGTGCTGGTCCTGGCTGGACGCTACTCCAGACACAAAGCTGTCATCGTGAAGAACATTGACAATGGCACTTCAGACCGCCCTTACAACCATGCCCTGGTGGCTGGAATTGACCGCTATCCCCAAAAAGTGACAGCTGCCATGGGCAAGAAGAAAATGGCCAAGCGATCAAAAATCAAGTCTTTTGTGAAAGTTTATAACTACAATCACCTCATGCCCACAGGTATTCTGTGGACATCCCCTTGGACAAAACTGTTGTCAACAAGGTTGTCTTCAGAGACCCAAGTCCTGAAATGCAAGGCGAGGCAAGGCAGGAAGCCAAGGTCAAGTTTGAGGAACGATACAAGACAGGGAAGAACAAATGGTTTTTCCAGAAGCTTCACTTTTAGCTATATTTTTGTTTCCACCATTAAAAGTAAAAAAAAAAAAAAAAAAAAGCACCTTAAGGACTGTCAGGATGGCTCAAATGGTGAAACATTTGCTGCACAAGACTGATGATTTGAGTTTGGTTCAATGAAACCATAAACATTAATTCCATAAAGCTGTCCTCTGACCCCCACACGTGTGCTATGGCACTCTAGCCCACACACCATACATCACTACACACACACACACACACACACAAAATAAAAATACAACAACAGCTTCTTTAAAAGTAAAGCTGGAGAGAAGCATTGAGGAATTCCCTGAGCATTAGGATACTGTGGGACCTATGACCAACTGCCACTGTGTGCAGGTACTGATGGCAAGACTGTCAAGAGGAGCCCAGAGAGGTGAGAACACAGCAACTTGTCTCCATTTGCCATCCTGTGACACTATACCTAAACAGCCCACGACAGCCAATTCACACAACTGTCTACCCACTCACCTCTATAAGACAGAAAGACAAAAGCCTAACATACAGTTCACCAGCTAATGAGGAGAAAGTATGCATAGAACCCATTGACAACAGCAGAGGAAAAGTGCTTGGGAACGACAGATACTCAACCAGAAATGCAGACCTCACTCCAGAAAGTCTCAAACTAAGTGAGAAGCATGACAGGGTACTCCTCATCAACATGCTGGTTCATCCTGCACTGGGATATAAGCACATCCCAATTAAAAACCAGTGAGCATATTCATGAGCTAGATAGATAATGATGACAGCCTGGTTCACATGAGAAAGAGACACAAGCCCAGCCACGGAAACTCCACAGCAGAGAAGACACACCTGAAAGAGCTCCACAATTGTATGTGCTTCATTTAGTGCAGGAGAAAAGTAGGCCCGGGGGACACACACAGGGTGGCATCTCTAAGCGTCCCATTGAACAATGTGGATACCTGACTACTCTCACTTCAAAATCCTGCCGCTATATTGGTGAGAAAGATTACAAACTAGGGAAGGTATGCAATTAGCTAAAAGTAGAATAATTGTAACAATTTAACTAAGGTCACCAAAATTTATAAGCTGCTTACTTTTAGAATTCTCATTCAGTATTTATGAACTTGGTGACCCAAACCACAGACTATAAAGCTACTATGTCATACACCAAAACTTATTCACCCTCCTAGCAGATTCCCATCGGGAGCGTATGGACCCAGCACCTGCCCTACCCAATGAAGAAAGAGTTCCAGGGTAGCCCGAGTGTGTGCATGTGTGTGCATGTGTGTGTGTGATGGGGGGTAGGCAGTAGGCAGCAGTGGCTAGGCAATGGTGCTGGTGCACAACTACTTATTCCTTCTTTCCATACATTTTACCACCAAGTAGCCAGAAAAGAGACGTGCTCCAACAAGACTAATATATGGTTCGACTGGATCACAGCATGGATTATAATTCATCTTTGTGGTCTAAGGCACCAACTTGTACCCCCAGCAGACAGAAATGTGGCCCACCATCTTCCCAAAAAGTCTAGGAGTCCCCTGTGAAGAATCAGAGGAGTAGCCCCTAAGTTCCTCTGGATCTGACATTAGTCCACAGCACCACATAACTTCTCTATTAATGGTTTTTTGTTCCTTTTTTTTTGAGACAGGGTTTCTCTGTGTAGCCCTAGCTGTCCTGGAACTCTCTTTGTAGACCAGGCTAGCCTCAAATTCAAGAGATCCATCCGCCTCTGCCTCCCTAGTGCCGGGATTAAAGGTGTGCACCACCACTCCCAGTTCTGTTGAGATTTTTAAAAGACCAGCATTAAACGTCTAAGGAGAGGACTGAAGAGGTTTAAGAGCACTTGCTTGCTGCTCTCCCAGAGGACATGAGTTTGGTTCTCAGTTCTCATGTTGGGCAGCTTTTAATAGCATGTAACTCCAGTTCTCGATCCAATACCCTCTTTTTGGCCTCCATGGATACATACACACATACACATGAATCTTTTTTTAAAAACCTCATTCCCCAAGTAACTGAGGAAGAGGTGAGGAGACAAAAGCATAAACTCAGCCTGTAGGAACTTTGGGAGTGCACCCCAGAGGTAGTCTCCCAGCATGGAACTTAAGGAACTCTTCCACAGAAGCCAGAGTGGTGGAGATAGTACCTTAGGGACCTGTGTATGGCTACTCCTGATGGGGTATGAATGAGCTAGGACAAGCAGAGGATTCCTTACATAGTGTCTCTGACGTCTCTTGGGACCCTAGAATTCCAATCTCTGAAAACTTCATTTTCTTTGTCAAACTCCCGGTCGTCTTCACCAATGGTTACTGTGAACCTTTTTTCTTCAAAGTCAGGCTCTTGCTCTTTCCGAATGGTTGCTTTTTTTAAAACCTAGCCCCAAAAGAAGAGAGACATTACTGTGAAATAAAGACCCCCAAAGCCACTGGGAGGAACACAGGGAACCTAAGACCTGCAGCAAAGCATGACACAGTCCCAAATGGTGTGGGCAAACACAAAACTCCAGTCTTCTCCTATAGGCCTCAGAGGAGGCTGGTCTACACAGGTCTGCTGTGATTTATTTGCACAAGTGAATATCTGGGACTAGCAGAGGGACACAGAAGGCATGTAAGCAAGGCCTTTATTTCAATCTCCCTGAAGAGAGAACAATACTTAGGCACTGATAACACAAGGCTAGGTGTCATAGTTGGTATAGGGAGGCCTGTAAGAACTAGTACAAGCAGATACTGGGTCTCAAGGTGGCAGGGAGAAGGCCCTACCAGATGCAGGGATTGTCTCACTGCCTGGGGTAATGGTCAGAGACATTTCATTTTGGGCTGTGTCCAGGAGAGGGTCTCTGGTCTACTAGGATTTGCCTGTGACTGGGCCTGCCATGTAGAGATGGCTAAATATTATTTCTCCTTCTCTATTAAAGGAAGCCCAGAAATGTTCTTATAGCTTCTAAGGCTTCACTGAGTTTCTTTTTCTTTATTATTATTATTATTATTACTATTTTTTTTTTTTTTGCTTCACTGAGTTTCCACACTCTCTCTGGATCAAAGCTATGCCAGTTCTGCCAGGCCCACTAGAGAGGCTACCACTATGCTTTTCCTACCAGAGTGCATTGAACTCTTACCTCCTTTGCGTGTCTGAGTCCGCGTTCCCAGGCACTCTCTGTGGGGGGTTCTGGAGGGGGTGGAGGCAAAATTTCATCAACTACTGGCGCACCCTATTAAAAAATAAGAGAAATATTGAAGGAGCACTTAAAAACCTATCAAGATATAGGGCAAACTCAACTTGATGATGGGGCAGACTTAGTAGACTTCCTAGGGGAGGCCTTACCCTCTCAGTGGAGTAGATGGGAGGAGGGGAGAGAGTGGGAGGAGAGGAGGGAGGGGGGAACTGGGATTGGAATGTAAAAAAACAAATTTGTAAAAAAATTGAGAAAAAAAAAAAAAAAAAGACAAACCAGCCAGCTACCACACAACTGGCTCTCCTGCCCAACCACCCACATGACCTAGAACATCCAAGGCTACTTCTACACAAGCACAAGAAGCCCTAAACAGGTGCTCCTTGACTCTTAGGTACAAGATGCCTTTTCTATAAGGAAGACATTTGTCTTCAGCCCGAGATTCAGAACTCAGGTATCCCATCTGGTAGCAACCAAAGAGCTCACTCACCCAAGGGTTGGCAGGCATCAATGGGTGAGGTCCAAGAGGCGGGGCACCGTTGGGTGGAAAAGGTTCAGTTTTGGTGATGAGGGAGTAGTTTCCCTTGTCATTCACTCCAGGGTGTATAAACCTACAGTTCATTCCCCAGGTGCAGTTCCCTAGGGAAACAAAAGTCCAGTGAGAAAAGACACCAAGAACCCAACTGTTGGAGCGCAGCAGCTGGGTGCTTACTGACAACTTCGGAAGCACCCACCAACCTAGTCCTGCTCCCACAGGTCACCGTGCCTCTGGGGAGTCTGCTCTGGAGAGTCTGCGGCCAGTAACAGCCCAGCCTACCTCACCCTCTGTGTACACAAGTGTCCCACAGTCCTACAGAGGTGAGCAGGGCAGGCCAACGGGTCAGTGAGGCACTTCCATGAGATAACCATTCCCTTTATGAGAGTCCCTGCCTGGACGCTCAGGGCCTATTCACAGTCACTTTGCCAGTTCTATATCCATGGATTCACCACCCACAGATCAAAAATATTCTTTGTGTTACACTGAATATATAAAGACATTTTTGTGTCTCCATTCCTTAAATACAGAATAAAAAACTTATTTACACTGTGTCAAGGATTATAAATCACCTACAGAGGGCTTAAATTACAGGAGGATATGTGTTACATCATCTTGTAATAGGGACTTGGATACCCTCAGATTTGGCATCCATGGACATTATGGATCCAATCTCCCATGGATACCATGGGACAATTGGGCAAATCAACCTTCTGAGCACCGATTAAAGCAAAGAAGCCAGAGTCTCTAGAGTGAAGGGCAGAGGCAACACTAGAGCCTCCAGGGAGCTTCAGCAGGTGCCTGCACATTTATTTTGACTCGTGCTGAGGTAGCAATCAAAGAGGCATAAATATTACCAGATCTCTTGTTGATTCTGTCCCAGGGTGGCCCTCTCCAAACCACTTCAGGATTATTTCTGGTCCTTAAAAAATGTGTGCTAAAGGGGGCCTGGAGAGATGGCTCGGTGGTTAAGAGCACTGACTGTTCTTCCAAAGGACCTGGGTTCAATTCCCAGCACCCACATGGCAGGTCACAACTGTCTATAACCCCAGTTCCAGAGGATCTGACACCTTCACACAGACACACCACAGAATGCCAATGCACATAAAATAAAAAATAAATCATTTAAAGCAAACAAAAAAATGTGTGATAAATTAAGCTATTGTACCAAATCAATCAAAATACAATTGAGCTTTTACACATACAGAGTCCTATGTATACACCACTAGAAGCATCTAAGATTTAAATACATTTCCTAGTTTAACACATATACTCTTAAATAAAAACTATATTCAATCTGAAACTTATTTCAGTTGAACATTTTTGCTAACAATTTTTTATGTAGTTAAGTAGAAATAATCACTTAATACTTTGAAAAAAAGGCAAGCTTCATCTTTAAATACCATGACTACTGAAGTCTGAGTTAAAACACAAAGAGCATGCTGACATAAAGCACAAAATACATTCAAAATTGTTTCCCTGCAAATACAAAAATGGTAAAGTTTTTTTTTTCTTCCATTCATTCATTAATGATTCACATGTAAGTTAAATGAGGTTGGAAGCTTCACTGTACAGGGATCTGGAGCTTTGAGCCCTGGAGCTTTAGGGAATGACTACTGCAGCCAGGCATTTGAAGACAGATGCAAACACCACTCACTTCTTCACGATCACTCTCCACATCATGTACTTCTCAACCTTGTTATGTAATTAAAATGTAACAAAAGGGGAACTGGAGAGATGGCTCAGCTAGTAAGAACAATGGCTGCTCTTCCAGAGGTCCTGAGTTCAATTCCCAACAACCACATGGTGGCTCAAAACCATCCGTAATGAGATCTGCCGCCCTCTTCTGGCAGGCAGGCAGACATGCAGGCAGAACACCATATACATAATAAATCTTTAAAAAGGAACAAAACCTCATTATAGAAGTCAGAAAATACAAAAAAGTATTAAGCTAATGATTTATACCTAAAATATATTTCCATTTAATAGATAAATATGCATTTATTATTTGTTTTAAAATGTCAAAACAAAACAAATGCAGCCCGGTGTTGGTGGCGCACACCTTTAATCCCAGCACTCGGGAGGCAGAGGCAGGCGGATCTCTGTGAGTTCGAGGCCAGCCTGGTCTCCAGAGCGAGTGCCAGGATAGGCTCCAAAGCTACACAGAGAAACCCTGCCTCGAAAAACCAAACCAAACCAAAACAAAACAAAAGCAAATCCAAAACCCAATCCCACTGTCAAATCTCAGAGTCAAATCTTTGGGCAGAAAGAAGAAAAGGATACATGCATGGGAGGGAGAAACAAACAACAGAGGAAAGGAAAGGAAGGGGATGCAGAGTGTCATCCCTGACAAAGGATCAGATGACAGAACCCAGCTCTCACGAGCTAAGTTAGGTCCCTGCTGAGAATGTTCTTAACCCTTGACCACCTAAGTAATAAGGTACATGGCTCTAAAAACAGCCACACCACCACACAGCCAAAGCAGATACCCTATAAACTCTGGAAAAATGATCACGGAGTACAGGAACCCCATTTACACAGGTAAACCCCTTCCACGGGGGGGGGGGGGGGGGGGGGGCAATATTTTTTTTTTTCTGGTCTAGAAATGCCTTCAAGGTACACTGTCCTCACCTGGTGCATGGAACTCAGGGCCTTGTACATAATAGGGAAATAGATCATTGTTGAGCTACATCCCTAGCCCTATCTTTTACTTGCTCTACTGTCAGTAAATATTACTTCCACAATAATAAAAAAAGAAAGGAAAAGAAAACATGCCAGTGAGATGGCTTAGCAGGTTAAGTACCCTGTCCACCCATCCTGATGACCTGAGTTTGGTTTCCATAGTCCACTCCTACTGACTATCCTGAGCTCCACATACAAGAGTTCTGCGCCCCCTACAAATTTAATTTTTCTTTCTTCCCCCTCCCCCTTTTGGTTTTTCCAGACAGGGTTTCTCTGTGTAACAGCCCCAGCTCTATATAGACCAGGCTGGCTTAGAACTCACCTCTGCCTCCTGAGTGCTGGGAGTAAAGGTGTGTCCCACCACTGCCCAGCCAAACTTAATTTCTTAATTAGAAAATACAAAATGGAAGCAAAAGGTATTTTAGAATAGTTTGGTCACTTTCTTCTGAGTTTTCTAAGAAGCAGGAGTGTGGAGACTCAGAGGATGTGTGGGACAGTCTAACTTCTGGATTTTTCGTTTCGAGACAAATTTTCACTATGTTGCCTTGACTGCCTAGAACTCACTCCTGTGTAGACAAGGCTGGTCTCAAACTCAGAGAAATACACCTGCGTCTGATTTTTCAATGCTGAGATTAAAGGTGTAGGCCACCCACGCCCAGCTATTTCTGGGTTTCAGAGGGCTATCTGCACATGGGTGTATAAAACACTTTATATATATAACACTTTATATATATAAACACTTTATAGTAAAACAAAAGTGTGAGTATATGTAAATAAAGAGTATGTTCTCTGAAGGACATACAGTGGAGTGGGGTTTAACAGTGCAGACCTTTTATTCCATCACTCAAGAGAGTGGTACATTAAAGGCTAACCTGGGCTACACACTACCCTATCTCCCCTACCCTATACTTCCAGAACCTTCTGTCAGAAGTAGCTACCAACTTAGGGGTGGTTAATAATGTAGCCATCAAACATACACCCCCAATTTTTTCTGACTGTATTATACAGTCTGGTGTGATCTTTGCCACTCCCATTCCTAAACAACTTAAGAAAAAAAGAACTTGTGTGATCGATAGCAACAGATCTAAAACTGCATCAGTAACAGATGATCACGGCAGATCTCTTAGCAGCACTCAAGGAAGCTAAACAGATGGCAGGAGGCAGCTGCCCTGTCACCTGCTGGCCACAGTCCCCATGTCCAATGGCCAAGATTCAGCTCCGCTAACATGTGCAGACACCAGCAAGAGACTGCGGCTGTGGGCATGAGCAAATTCATGTGTCTGTTAGGTCCAGAAATGAACAGACTTTTAAGCTTGTGATTGTTGGTTGGATTGGTTATCATCAGCTGCATGATCAGCACCACAGGCAAGATACCTGTTAAAATGGCAAAGAAAATTTTATTTATTTATTTATTTATTTTACTTTTTCGTTTTTCCAGACAGGGTTTCTCTGTTGCTCTGGTGGCTATACTGGAATTTGCTCTGTAGACCAGGCTGGCCTCGAACCCACAGAGATCCACCTGCCTCTACCTCGAGAGGGCTGGGATTCAAAGGCATGTGCCACCACTGCCAGGCCAGCAAAGTAAATTTTACAATGTCCACTTTCTAAACAAAAACACTTGTTTCAGTCTAGAGTACACTTCTGACAAAGCGGCCCTCTCTCAATATGCCTTGCTTTCCTTTTCAGCTAGTCTAAGCAGCTATAAACAGGCAATAAATACAGCCTGTGAATAAAAGTCAAAGTGTTTTACTGGTTTAAAAAATTTTCTTGAAGCCAGGCAATGGTGGCACATGCTTTTAATCCCAGCACCAAGGAGGCAGAGGCAGGTGGATCTCTGTGAGTTCAAGGCCTGCCAGGTCTACAGATCGAGTTCCAGGACAGCCACCAAAGCTACAGAGAAAACCTGTCTGGAAAAACTAAAACTATCATAGGTCTCTCAAAAATACACAGCAATCAAGATTTTCTGGTTATCTAGTGTTGGTGCAGAGGAAGGAACACCAAAGCGAGAATTATTAAGTAGTCAGTCCTGCCAGGTGGTGGTGGTCTTCAATCCCAGCACTGGGGGCAGGGTGGGGGGTGGGCACAGACAGATCTCCTCTGTAAGTTCAAGGCCAGCCTGGTCTAAGAGCCAGTTCCAGGACAGCCAAGAGTTACACAGAGAAACCCTGTCTTGGAATTCCAGCGCGCACCCCCCCCCCCAAGAAATACAAAACGCAGTTTGAGGAGAAAAAGAACTCCAGGAAATTTAAAATAAGAGCCAAGAGATAAGGAGAAATGGGAATGAACAGTGTGTGCCTTCAGAGATACCACAACATGTGAAAAGAAAAGGCCTAAGGGACCAGCCTGTTCTACAAGAGCTAGTTCCAGGACAGCCTCCAAAGCCAGAGAAACCCTGTCTTGAAAAACCAAGGGGGGGGGGGAAGCCAGGTGTTGGTGGCGCACGCCTTTAATTCTAGCACTCGGGAGGCAGAGGCAGGCGGATCTCTGTGAGTTCGAGGCCAGCCTGGTCTCCAGAGCGAGTGCCAGGATAGGCTCCAAAGCTACAGAGAAACCCTGTCTTGAAAAACTAAAAAAAAAAAAAAAAAAAAAAAAAAAAAAAAAAAAAAAAAAGCCTAAGGAATTATGTGTTCCTAAAGAGCAAAGTTTATGCAAATGTTACTCCAGGAGAGGACAAGATTCCACCCCCAAGCAGGCAGCCAAACTTGACAGCATGGGTTCTGGCTTTTGAGTCATGAAGAATACAATAAAAGGGTTGTGGAATCTTCCTTTTCGGTCAGGGAAGATTGACTGAAGCCAGGCATGTGGTAGGTGAGCCTCTGCATGGAGGCTGGGAGAGGCTATTAAATAAAGCTATGAAAGTAAAGCCTGGATTATGTTGGAGACCCCAGGATGCTGAGTTATCAAAGTCTTGGGGCATTTGCCAAGAAGAGCTGATGCAGTCAGCAAATCTGGAGGACACTATGTAAGCCAACTATGTCTTTTACAACAGACAGACTATGCAATGGTTCTCAACTTTCCTAATGCTGTAACCCTTTAAAACAGTTCCTCATGCTGTGGCGGTCCCCAACCACAAAATTATTTTCATTGTTAGTTCTTAACTGCAATTTTGCTACTGTTATTGAATCATAATTTAAATATCTGTGTTTTCCTATGGTATTAGACAAACCCCAAGAAAGGGTTGTTTGACCCCAGGGTTTATAACCCATAAGGTTGAGAACTGCTGCTTTTAGGCTGTGTTGAGACTATGAAAGACTACCGGGAACTTTTAAAATGGAAGTAAATGGATTTTACATTATGATATGGCCACAAACCAAATAGGGCCAGAGAGTGGACAGAATGAGGTAGTTTGAATAAGAATGACCCCCACAGGCTCATATATTTGAATGCTTGGTCTCCAGTTAGTGGAACTGATTGGGAAAGATTAGGTGGTATGCCACTGGGGGCAGCTTGCAGATTTCAAAAACCCTAACAGGTGCATGCCTTTAATCCCAGCACTCAGGAGGCAGAGGCAGGTGGAGCTCTGAGTTCAAGGCCAGCCTGGTCTACCAAGAGAGTTCTGAGGACAGGCTCTAAAACCAAACAACAACAACAAAACAACCCCATAACATTCCTGGTTAATGCCTCTCTTTTTGCCTTCTACTTGCAGATCAAGATGTAAACTCTTAGTTACTGTGATGGGGGACACCCTTCTGTATTCTGTGAATATGTTACTCTTATTGGTTGATGCATTGGTTGATGAATAAAGCTGTTTTGGCCAATGGAAAGACAGGAAGTATAGAAGGATGGGAAGAGGAACACAGAGGAGTCTCGAGGGAGACACCATATAGCCACCGAAGGAGTAATATATGGGAGCATTACAGGTAAGCCACAGCCTTGTGGCAATACATAGTTTAACAGAAACGGGTTAATAATTAAGAGAGACCTAGCGAAGAAGAAGCCCAAGCCATCGGCCAAACAGTTTATAATTAATATAAGCCTCTATGTGTTTATTTAGGACTAAAGGGCTGCAGGACTAAAAGGAACAGAAACCTCCGACTACATTACTGCTCCAAAGCTATTCCTGTCTGCTGCCATTCTCTCTGCCATTAAGTTTATGGACTCACCCTCTCACACAGTAAGCCCCAACAGACTCTTTTTCTATAAGCTGCCTTGGTCATGGTATCTCATACCAGCAACTTAAAATTAACTAAGACACTTGCTGATCTATACAGCCATTCTATTCCTTACCTTTTGAGGGACTGCTAGACTGTCTCTTACTTTGCTGCCAGAAGCGTGCAAGGGGTCTAGTACGTCCATATCCTTGCTAATACAGCAAGCTTTATATTTTATTTCTAAAGTAACTTACTACTGACAGGGTCTTTTCTTTCTTGAATCAGTATCTGTAGCCCTGGATGGCTTGGCATTCAACCAATCTGCCTGCTTGACCTTCCAAGTGCTGGGACTAAAGGGGACACCACCATCGCAAGCTAAAGATTTTGTGGGGTGGTGGTGGGTGGTGCATATGTATGTGCACTCCCACATGTGAGTGCAATACCTGCAGAGTCCAAAAGAGGGCATCAGATCCTCCTAAAGCTGGATTTATAGGCAGTTGTCAGCTGTCTGACATGGGTGCTAGAGACTGAACCTGGGTCCTTCAAGAACCGCACCTGCTCTTAACAAACTGTCTGCTTAGCCCTTAACAAACTTAACAAACTGTCATAAGTATGATAAATCAACTGATTTCAAATGAACAACAAGCTTATAACCTGTAGGCAAAAAAAAAAAAAAAAGTATCCAGGTAAGTTCTCATAATGATGACAAAGACATCCCAGAGCAAGTTCATTTTCTTTCCATCTGCACACCATAAACAGGATGAGAGAAAGGGAATCACTGAAATGTTACTACCTCCAGGTTCCTACCCTTACTTCATTCACTAATGGTCTACAATGTAGAACTGTCAGCTGAAATACCACCCAGGCCTCCTCAGGTTGCTTTTGGTCATGGGTGTTTTATCAAAGCAATAGAAACTCTAAGACACTCACCTAAGATGCTTCCCATTTCTTAACTGCAGAAAACTCCCTATGGCATGGCCTCACTCATGAAAACCCAAACATAGCTCACGGGGTGCCCACTCAGTGTGATGATTAAGGCAACAATCCTATCTCAGTGTATGCAGATGTCTCCTGAAGAGCTGGTTTGGATTTCCAATATATTTCATCTGTTCTGTGCTTGGTAAGTTCCGACAACTAGGTCAGGGTGTGAGCCTCTGGCTCTTGCTCCAGAGACTCCATGCTGATGCTGCCAGCCTGTCCCAAGCAGCTGCCAAGCTTCTGAGCTGCAGAGGCATTGGGCAGCACAGTCTGAGAGCAGTACTAATGAGAACCAAGTACAGATACACACTGTACACAGATTTCTGTTGCTATAGTCTATACATCTGCAGGGGATGACTGCGTTTATTCCTCATGCCATCACTTCAAAAGGGTCTCCTGCTTGCTTGCACTTATATTTTTTGAAACACTAGCACTTTAAATATCAAAGTTTTTGAAGAACTAAGATGTAGTGTCCCAGCCTTTCATTCTTAGGGTGCTTGGGTCAATGTCAAGTGAAGGTCACCTGCACACTGTCTTGCACCCCACCCCCATTATACATAATCGACTATGCAACTTAGATCAGCCAACTATTTTCAGTTGGCATCCCAAGAGCATAATCCCAGAGAAGTGAGCCTAAGCAGGATTTTCACAAATGTCCCATCACCAGGACATCTCTTGGCCTTAGGGACAGGGCTGTTTGTGGACCACTCTTGGACACAGCCTTCCCTATGAATAAGACAGGGTTCCACTGCCCACCTGTGGAAGTTCCTGCTCTTCAAGTGCAGTGCCATGGCCTTAATCTGCATCGTCCCCCAGCTCTAACGACACTAAGGAGGAAAGGGCCACAGCAGCTCTGCCCCTCAAGCCTCCTCCCTGTTGGCGTCCCAGCTGTGCTGAATCCAGGAGAAAGAAGTCTGGCCTCTGGCGCAGGGGACTTTAAGGCACAACAGAGAGTGAACACAGGATATTTTGTACCTTTAACCTGGCCTCTGAGTGGTATGGAATTTGGTATTGGTGGAAGAAGAGTGGATAATGGTGTCACAACATCTGGAAAAGAAGTACAGGAAGCTCTTGTGAACTTAGACTGTACACACAGGCTGGCCAGTGAGCAAAGTCATCCACACGCAAGAGAAAACGCCTTCCTATCTGTTCAAGGAAACTGCTCAACAAGAAATATACCCAAAGCACTGCGGCACATCCAACCAAGCAAGTCTTGCAGACTGGAGACTATTAATTCCATTTCTTTCTCTTTTTTTTTTTTGGGGGGGGGGGGTAATCTGAGACAGGATTTCTCTGTGTAACCACCCTGGGTGTCCAGGAATGCCCTCTATAGACCAGAGTGGCCTTGAACTCACAGAGATCTGCCTGTCCCTACCTCCAGAGTGCTGGGACAAAAGGCATGCATACGCCACCACAGCCTGGCCTTAATTCCCTCCCAGGCTTTACAAAGCCAGAGTATCACATTACTTGTAATGTGGTGAGCCCAGATGAGTAAACAAGACTCAAATGCCCCGGCTGAAGCTACTTAACTGCAGTAGTCCTTTGTAGGAACGCCCCTCAGAGGCTCTCACTTGCCTTTTCAATACCATGCTCCCTCCCACCCAAGGAGCTGCTTCTGAGCCCTCTTGTAAAAAGTGGTTCTTTCTTATAGAATGCTAACATTGGAACAGTTGGCCTTATAAAAGGACCACTCAGAAACTGCCACTGTCTGTTGCAGCCTTGGGTCTGTTGTAAACAGTGGGCTTGAAACCTACAGGGTAAAAAACACCAGGTGGCTCTCCTCTAGGCAGTTTTTAAAGTGAGGACAGAACCAAAAGGGTCTATTGTTTACCACCAATACCATCATCACTACCACCAACTCTTGCAGTCTAGTCCCATGAAGCCTCTCTGACATGAACAGTCTGCCCAGATGAGGATGAATTGCCACCATGGCCCCAGGAAAGCAGAGGCTACACAGATGGCTGCAAAAAGGCTGGAGGCAAACAATTACCTTTCATGAAGAATCGGCAGGTGGGGCGAGGCCTCACCTTCCGGTCACTGGGGTCCTTCACTTCACCTTCCTCCAAGTCATCATCCTGGAACAGAGGACAGTCATCTGGAGGTTAGCCAACCCACCCTTCCCCACCACACCTCTTCACCAGGCCAGAAGCACAGAATTGGGTGTGTCTTCACCAGCTCACCCCCAGTTTTCCAATCTTAAATGCTCAGCTAAACAACAGATGGTCTCCTGATCAACTATAACTTCAGAAGAGTGCTGTGGAAATGGTGGGCTCCACCAGACACTTCAGGGCAGAGCTTTGATCTGTTTCTATCAATTGTGAGCAGGCAATGGGCACACTTTGGTCTTTACAATACTTTGTACACTAACAGTGCATAAACCTAGTACTCCATGCCCTTTGCAAGTGAACATTACTTGCCTCTCATGAGGGAAGTTAGGTGACCCTGATGGGCAACACTACCTTGTGGCTCATTCTTCACCTCACCATCACTTTAAAGTGACCTAGAAACTTTACAGAGAACAGAATCCAAGTTGTATTCCCAGGGTTCTCACAGGTAGCCAAGACCTGACCACTGCTCTGGGCTCTCCCCAGCTACCCCTGTGGGCAGCACCTGTCCCACCAGTCTTGTTGCTGAGACTCCTTGTAGTTACTGTCCTGTGTTGTCTGGGTAGTCCTGGCACGAGGGAAAGAATAAACAAATTTGCTTACTGCCTTGGCCTGCTGACCACATAACATAAAAGCAGAACAAAGCCATGAACCAAGAATTGAGGGAGGAACCCCAAGTCAAACACCTAGGGGCCGTTCCTGGTATTCTGCAGGTGAAATTAACCAAGGTGTCTCTGGGACACAAAAGCACTTTACAGGTCAGAGGGATCGGTAAGGATACCCTTGCTTTCCTGAGGTGGCAGGAGAATGCTGTGCCACACCTGCTCTCCAGGACCCATTGTTCACTAAAGGTCAGCTTCCAGGAACATCCTTGCCAACACATACCAATAAGCAAATGTTAGATGCAGCTGGCCCAGTGTAAATGCATACATCCTGAACACTTATGTAGGGGCACTGTCTGAGAAATGCTCATCCTACAGGGAAGTTTGAAGATAAGCAGGCCTTTGGCCTAGGAGACTGTTCCTAAGGAGGGAGTCTGGTGATGCAGCAATTATCTGAGACTATGATAAGAACAATGCATGTACTAAGGAGAATCACAGTGGAGGTCCATGAGCCTACAGAGGCAGCAACAAAGGCCAACATGCAAACAATATAATGGAGTGGAAGACAAAGATAGGGTCCAGGAAAGGAGTTTCCAGGGAAAATGGTTGCTGGCCTAGAGTCACTGTGTTCTCTTGGGCCCACACTATCATTCACAGTGCCCACTTGCCTACCTGCCGGGTTTTATCTTCAGCAAGTTATTGTGAGCCTAGTATATGTCTGGGAATTAGGAAATCCTCAGATGGCTCACTGTTCTGCCTCTCCTTCACCTGCTTTGAACTCAACTGCTCTCAACTTTGGACTGTGTGCCCCCCAAACTTCCGATTCAAGCTTACAACAGAATCATATGTAAAGAAAACAAGACCTCTCACACACACACTTATGATCCCACATGAAGGCCAGATTTAAAGAAGGCATCTTCTAGGGTCCACAAAAAGTCTGCAGTTACCAAGAGAAGCTTTCCAGTCTAAGGTTTTCTGTATAAGCCCACTTCCCATCCTCCACTGTGAGCATTTCCTTTCCTGCCTCAATACAAGCTTTCATTTTCCTGCATGTCTGGCCCAGCCATCACTGACCATCTCTCTAGGAACAAGGGAGCCTGAAAACCCTGCAGAGCCTGCTTGTCCTTGATCAGGTGTGCCTGCTGAAGGGCCAGGGTTCTTGCCTGCTCCACCATACTCACATCTATCTCCCCATCATCAATCTCTCCATCATCATCCTCTTTCTTCTTCTCCTTGGCAGCCTCTGTGGGTTCTTTTTCTCCCACACTTTGAACATCAGGTTTCCCTTCCTCTCCGGGAGCACCTTCCCCCTTCTCCTCCTCATCCTCTGCCCCGACTTTCTCAGCTTCCTCTTCCTGGGCAGCAGGAGCTGGCTCCTCGGGGACCTCCTCATCATAGTCTAGCTCATGCTCATCCAGTTCCCGGGTTACTGAGGAGGCTTCATCCCTGAGGTCACTTGTCTGGTCTTCTTCAACATCATCCCCCTCTTCACACAGAGATCCTGCTGGGCCCCTGCTCAGCTCATGAGCCTCTGAGTCCTGATCCTGGGACTTGGGCTCACTGGCACGGTCTTCCTCATCTGAGTGAGTCTCCTCCTGGCTTTGTACCCTAGTTGCATTTTCCTCATCCTCCAAATCAGAAGCCCTTTCCCCAGCTCCATCCAAATCTTGTTCAGATCCAGTTTCCCTCAGAATATCATCATCTGAGAGCGCTGGCTGCTCTTCATCCTCTGGAGAGCGAGGATCCAGTTCAGGGCTCTCAGCCACATCCATCAGGACCCAAAGATCTGCAAAAGACAGACAGCACAGACTCAGCACGGCCTATCCTCCTGGCCAACATGCCCTCTGCCCCAGAGAGAAGGAAAGACCATCTCTGCCCTTGCTCCATACAGCCCCTCCCCCAAACCTTCACAACTCCCTGTGGAGTTCCAGAGCATTAACTCCATTGGGTATTGCTGGTCTCCACTCAGTCCTTCCTTTTGCCTGTAGCCAGCACTGGTAAAGAGAAGTGAACAATAATAAACCATGGACTGCAAAGGACAGCTAGTGGGATTCATGGGAACTGACTTCTAAAGATATGGTTTCTCTAGTGGAATTAGGTAGCACCCTAGGCCAGCAGCAGTTTTCAACTGAGCCTTTTTCTCTTACTCTGCCTCTCAAGCACAGCTTCTTGTCATCTCTTAAATCCCTCACCTGTTCTCTAAGATTCAGACTCCAAGACCTCATTCAGACCTTGCACCCAGCCTCCAGCATGTTCTTCAAAGGCACTGCTCTGGGACCAGTGACACCAGAGCTCAAACAACCATACCCAGGTAACTGCTGCATAAATGGACTATGACAATATTTTTAGACATTTAAGTCAAATACTTATATAAAAGACCTTTTTTTTCTTTTTAAAGACTCACTTCTATTTCTACAAATCCAGATTTAATCACAGCAAATGTTTTCTCGTTTTTTTTTTTTCCCTTTCCACCTCCACAACTCATAGAAAGTATTTCCCTCTGCTGTGTGTAGCGGCACATGCTTGTAATCACATCACTTGGGAGCTGGAGGCTACCCCATAATACATAGCAAAACCCTGAATCAACTAAAAAACACACTGCTGCACTTGGTTTAAAATCCAGCCACCTAAGCTGGGGTTAGAGAACACACGTACACGTCACATATAGCACTCAGTAGCCAGTATTTCTATGGAATCAACAGATACCAACTTACAACAGGAAGGAAGAAGGGTTTGAAGTTTACCTGATTCTATATTCTGAGGCTGGGAAAAAACACAGGCTGTTTGGTACCTAGCAAATGTACAATTTATTCATTTCAGGATCACTATGTGTTTAGAGGTACCAAGCCACATACATTTATGTTCTTTATACATTGTATTTATATAACTTTATATTTACCTATTAAAAAGTGTATGTTTTAAGCCGGGCGTTGGTGGCACACGCCTTTAATCCCATCACTTGGGAGGCAGAGGCAGGTGGATCTCTGTGAGTTCAAGGCCAGCCTGGTCTTCAGAGCAAGTGCCAGGATAGGCTCCAAAGCTACACAGAGAAACCCTGTCTTGACCCCCCCCCCAAAAAAAAAGTATGTTTTGCCAGGTGGCAATGGCACTGCCTTTAATCCCAGCACTTGGGAAGCAGAGGCAGGCGGATCTCTGTGAGTTCGAGACCAGCCTGGTCTACAAAAGATAGTTCCAGGACAGCCTCCAAAGCCAAAGAAATCCTGTCTTGAAAAACAAAACAAGAAAGTATATTTCAACTTACGTTGGGGGAGCAGTGTTGGAAGACTGAATTCAGGACCTTACATACGCCATGTAAGTACCCTATCACCAAGCTTCAGCTCAGATCCCAAATTTATACTTTTAAAAACTTGTAGCCTGCCAGGTGGTGGTGGCACAAGCCTTTAATCCCGGTACCCTGGAGGCAGAGGCAGGCAGATCTCTGTGAGTTTAAGGCCAGCCTAATCTACTGAGCAAGTTCCAAGACAGCCTCCAAAGCTACAAAGAAACTTTTTCTCAAAAAAAAAAAAAAAGAAATACAAGCCGGGTGTTGGTGGCGCAAGCCTTTAATCCCAGCCCTCGGGAGGCTGAGGCTAGGTGGATCTCTGTGAGTTCGAGACCAGCCTGGTCTACAAGAGCTAGCTCCAGGACAGGCTCCAAAACCACGGAGAAACCCTTTCTCGAAAAACCAAAAAAAAAAAAAAAAAAAAAAAAAAAAAACAAGTCAATCAGTCCTACCTGGGCATAGTAAACACATGCCAGTTTGGAATCCTGGCATTTGTGAGATGAGACAGAGGACTGTCCAAAGTTTGAGGCCAATCTGGGCCACATAGTGAACTGCAACCCATCTGGGTTAAAAAGAGTGAGAATAAAAAGCAGCAAGTACAAGTTCAGAAGCTATGCACACAGCCTCTGATCTCTGAGGAGTACTTGAGGGTTCTGCAGTGCACAAGGGTGAATATCATGTAGGACAGCAGCCAGATGGGGGCTTTGTGCTTTTCCACTGCCTAACAGAAAGTTGGTGCAGAGCTCTAGTATGTGTGGTAGGTAGGGTTTCAGCAATGAAGTCAAGCTAATGCCAAAGACAACACCCCCAATATACTAACATTAAGGAACACATGAATTTCTTAGTGTGTAACATCTAATCCCTAGCTTTGCACAGTTTTGATTACATTGTATATTTTTAAGAGGCCCAGGGACCTTTCATCTCTCCAGCTGCCTAGGGGTAGCACCTGGTACCCATAGAAGTCAATCATGCTGAACTGGTTACCAAGTCTCATACGCCCTACTTGAAACCTGACAAATTCCTATTCTAGTATTTTATAGCTAAAGGCAACCTTGTAAACGATGTTTTCTTTTAAATCAACTGTTATGCAAAACCAAATGTCCTGTCTAATTTTGAAGTCATACAACCAACACTGCAGAAAACAAAGTTCAAGTTCTAAGATACTGTCCTTGTAACATACTATCTTGTGTATGGTTCACAAGACCTTCTAACCTAGGTCAGAGCTCTTTTCTGGGGCCCTGCTAAAAGTTGGTTTGCTTTTGGTTTCAGTCAAAATTAGGTCTTACTGAGTTGTTTTTTACATTCTCCAAAACCTTGAAATGAAATCCTATGGTAAGAGGTAGAAACAGAGTGCCTAACTAAACATCTGAACTGTAGCAAGAAGCAGGCTAGTAAAGGAGAGAAGGCTGTCTTTTACCTGACTACTACTATGTATGTCTCAGGATGGTCAGACATTCTGAACTTGTGTTCCCAGACCATAGATGGAATCAGTTCTATCCCCCAACCATTGAAGTTTCTACTATAAATTCTTTTTGGTATAGAACACAAATAAACTATGGCCTCTACAAACCTGTGGGTTGTCTGTTTCTTTTTTCCTCCCTCCAAATATCAATGTGCTAGACACTTACCACGGGTATATCATTTTTACAAAAAGACACAGCCAGGCTGACTAGCTTGAGAAATCTGAAGGGCTGATGTGCTGTGTATATGTCCACTAGGTGAATTTAGTTACTTTAACTGCAAGGAGTAAGTCGACTTCTGACTTGTGAAGGCAGTTTTTGGCACATGTCATAAAGTGGTGGGGTGAATGGGCCTTAAAGTACCTATGGCTATCATGGTGTGTGTGGAGGGGGTGGTGATTGGGAGATGACTCTTTGGATCATAGGCTGTTCTGAGCAACCAACGACAGGCATAAATAAGCCAGTCATACAAAATTTCGCTTTCCTTCTGGCAAAAACCCCAAACTCCACTATAAGTTAGAAAATCTTGTTTCTTGCATTGAACATTATTCTGTTTATCTAACTGCACCTACCATACAAATTCCAATAGTTTATTTGAAGGGTTTAGGGAGGTATCCCCCTCACCCCTGTTATAAATTGGGATCTCTGCCATCCAAGTGCTAGGATTAAAGGCCTCCCACCATGCCCGGCAGGATCTTAAATTTCCAAAAGCCTGAGTGTTAACATTTTGGTCCCTAGGGATACACTACTAAGAGATACAGGAATCTTGGTATAGGAATTTTTAACAGGTAAGGCCTAGTAGTCCAGTCTTCTTTGCTCTCCAGTATTCAATGAGAGGTTAAGCGCCTTTGTTCTATCACTGGTCACTACCTTACTAACTGAACATGGTCTAGATTCTACAATATACCAAACTGAGAGCCAAAATATACCTTTTCTTGCCACCCCCTTTTTCTTTCTTTTTGAGATAGGATTTCTCTATGTATCCCTGGCTGTCTGGAACTCTTTTTGTAGACCAGCTTGTCCTAAAACTCACAGAGATCTGCCTCCCTGTCTCTTGATTGCTGTGATTAAAGGTGTGTGCCACTACATCAACTTAAATCTTTTCTCTGTATGAGTTCATCACCTCATGCATTGTCATAGTGATGGAAAACATATATTCTTCCCAATCCTGCAGAGTGAGAAAGGATAAGAGGCTCTCACAGGGCTGGCATTCAGCAGCCTATACACCACACACTGTACTATACGGCTGGGACACTTCTGAGACTACAGCGGCCATGATTAGCATCCACAGGATGCATGATCAGGGCTGCCATGGTGCAGAGTTACATTGCAGAGGCCCTGAAAGGTTTTCTGAGAAAAGGCACTGCACTGTTCTTCCTTCCCATGGGACCTCCTAGGATTGTACTACTGGAGGCCACATTCAGGTTAACATGTTTCAGGGACAACCACAAATCTGTGTGTTTTTTGAAAAACCACTCTAAATCATACCTTTAGAGCAAGAATCATACAGGGAATCAGGAGATGGCTTGATTTCCAGCCCTGCTCTAGGAAGGCTCACTGTCTCTCTAGGTGCCAGTGTTCTGAGACAAATATTGTGTGTTACCCTATGCTGGATGAAGGGAACTATATGCCCTATCAAGTGTAAACAATTAATTGAGGGTCCTTCAGTCCAACTCCAATACACTTCCATGTTTACAATCTTTGACCAACCCATCTTAGCCAATCACTCAGTAATGTGGGACTCTCACAAGTTTTAGAGCTAATCTTTAGTCCTCCAATCCAAAGTGGTGAACCTGTTCAGTGGGTGGAATGACTCAAGTCTTTCACTGTTTCTTTCCCCTACTGCACTTGACATACCTGAAAAATGCTTGTTAAATAACTGACAAAAATCTCATTAAGCAAAGAACTACCTGTTGCATACTAGAAACAAAAAAGTTGCCTAATTTGTAAAACACTAGAACCAGAGCTCCAGAGCCTGTCCTCTGCTCTTGTCTCAGCAGCAGCTCTGGGAGGCCAAACTGACTTCAACCACACCACTAACGGCAGAATAGTAACAACACATTCTCCTCAAAGTTGGGTCACTGAGGAACTGCTACAAACTACTTAAGAGCCTGGCCTAGCTAGGCACTGGTGGCCGACACCTTTAATCCCAGCGCTTGGGAGGCAGAGGCAGAGGCAGGTGGATCTCTGAGACCAGCCTGGCCTACAAGAGCTAGTTTCAGGACAGCCTCCAAAGCCAGAGGGGTGTGTGGCTATTAAAATGAAACCAATTAATTCACATGCTTACTACTGAGACAGGTGTTTCAAGTGGGCTTCAGCAAAGGTGGATCAATAACAAGCACAACTTCTGGGAAACTGCTTTCTCTTTTGAGACAAAGTCTCATTATGTAGTCCTGGCACTATGTATACTCGGTCAGCCTCCAGAGATCCTCTTGCCCTTGCTTCCCAAAGGCTGGGATTAAAGTTGTGGTATACCTTGCCCAGCTGTGGGAAACTACTTTTAGCAGAGCAGATCCTATGTTGATGTCTAAGTTCTATTATACCTGTTTAAAATCCTCATTCATCGTTTCAGTGTATACAGCAAGAATGTCAGGATTGTTGATAAGCACAATTCCAAATTGACTTAAGCTCAACCAAAAACTCTTTGATAAGGAGTAGTCACCTTGAGATGGTGTGTAAATGACAAGATAGCTCTTTAAAAATGAGCAAGGCAAGAGCTTACCTGTTGAGTGTTCTGAAGTAAATCCACAAAGTTCTCTTAAAATGTTTTAGTATTCCCCACCTACAACTGGAGAGAAGTTTCAGGCTTTGGGACATATTGAACTGGTTCCAGAACTGGCTGGGCTTCATAAGTGCTCAGATCAAACACATTCTCCTCTCAGGGGCTGGGAAATGGAAATTAGCCTAGGGGTTGAGAATCTCCAACCCCTGCCTTGGGATAGGTAATGTGGAGATGAACCAGATGCTCTCTTTCATTATCCCCAAATGGATCTGAAGAATTACCTACTCTTGCAAGTAAGTGCTAAACAGAACTCATTTAAAGCTACTATTGTGTCCGGTAAGCTCAGCTGTCAATGTACACGGGGAAAACTAAATTTCCAGCAGTAGCGAGACTTAAGTCTTAGTTTCTTTCCAGCACTACAATTGTTTGGCTACTTTACGCCAAAGACTCGGTGTCTCTGAGCTCACAGTCCAAAAGGTGAGGAGGTTATACTTCCTAAGAGATCGGACCTCTCGGGGCACCTGTGCACACTTGAAGTTGCGAGAGCATGTTGTTGCAGGAGGCTCCAGAGAGCTCAAAGTTCCCCGTAGAGCCCGTCGACAGTCCAGGCGAGCCTCCTCCCCAGCCAACCTGCGTGCTTCACTCCCCTTTGTAGGCGGCGAACATGTGCCACGCCGAGTGGCCCGGAAGAGAAATGACAGCTTCAGAAAACCAACTTCACCATGGCAGACCGCGGCGCGCTAAAGTCGCCAGGACGTC